AAATATCACCAATTTGAGTGTTATCAAACTCCTCCACAATTAGGAGTTTGCTTGTCCCCAAGCAACCTACTCAAACCAATGTAACTTGATAGACATATCAACAGGGACTGCACTCTAGTTCTTCGTTGCAAAGAATAGTAGATAGAGACGCGTAAATATTACTATCATCTTACTGTGAAAACACAAACTCCTTGTCCAGGACCATACCTACTACCTCGGGATGAACATTCAAGGTGTGCACCGGGGGACTTCTCAACAAAATTAAGCACATTATTATCTAACGTGTGTCTAGCCAACTACTTTTCTTTGTCGCCTACTACTTTTTTTCCCAAATTCTAAAAAAAGTTGATTCCATTTCAGATACTTATATTGATAAGACAAACGAGCTAGTTTACATTGATCCAATGAATGCGCCTGCATTAGCAGTAATTATAATTTGGGTAAATACAATTTAATAGTTTAATCTTTCGTTTTAAACAATATAATAGTCAAACCTTTTCGAAAATAATTTAATAGTCAATCCGTTAACTTTTCGTCTAGTCAACGACTAGTTGTATCTGAAGTGGCAACTCAGCAAAATGACGTGGCAAACAATCACTTTTTTAATATTATAACACATTGATATTCTTTAAATAAATAAATAAATAAAAGATAAATCCCTAGCTCTACCCTCGTCAATTTGGGATTCGTCCCCGCCGCCGCCTCCTCCATACTTCACCAACGCCGGCGGTTTCCTACCGATGCTGCTTCTTGGTCTTCCAATATCGGCCGCCGCAGCCCGCAGGTCATCCCTTTCCCAAATGTGCCTCTTCCTCACCCCTCTCTATGTCGGCAGCAACCACGGCGGGAATTCTTGAGCTCTCAATTCTGCCCCACACAGACCCGTCTTCTTCCTCCTTTGGTCGGTGAAGACGATGAAAAACCTCGCCCTATTCTTTATTCAGAACATATCCTTAATACCTCCTCCAAATAGCATTTTGTTGCTTTAGATTCCACTCGTCCATCCAGCGCAGCTCATGCGGCTGGTAGTCGTCGCCAACCCAGATCTAAATATGTAGAATTTGATTCCCTATAGTAGCCGTCTCTACGACTACACCCACAAGGGAGATGTGGATCCCGCTCATGTGGCAGAGAGACAACAACATATTGGAGGCCCTTCTTCTTCATCTTCGACCTTGGCTACTGAATCTCCAAATTCGCCGCCATCTGCTGGTGAGAGGGATTGCGTCGGGGAAATCAAATCCGCCGCCACGTAGCCGCAGTGGCAAGATGATGAGGCGGATACGGCGTTGGGTTGTCTTCTGCTGCCGCAAAGGAGTTCCCTGATTGATAGAGGGGAGGGGAAAGGAAGAAGATACAAGAAAATATTTTTTTAAACTTTTCCATAATAATATAAGACTAAGTTGAAATTTATAATTATCTAGTCAAGTGTTTGATTTTGTGCCACATCATCAAATTCATTCCACCTCAGCAGTGATTTTGCCAAATCAAAGTCAACTAACCGTTGACCGGACGGTAAGTTAACGGATTAGCTATTAAATTGTTTTCGAAAAGGTTTGGCTGTTATATTGTTTAAAACGAAAGGTTTGGCTATTGAATTGTATTTACCCCTATAACTATAAGAATGTTGGTGACTTTCAAACTTGGAAGATTAATTCTTGCAACTTTAAACCAAAACTTCATATGGTGCATCTTTTCGCAAATAAAGCACATGTACATTGGCAATCTATATCACTCTAATAATGAAGTTGGTTTCCCTTCTAAGCTGCAACTTTTTCTAAACTGGGCCCCTTTTGCTGGAGGTGGCATGTTTAGGCATCTGCATAGTAGTGGGAGAAGAAAGTTGTTTATTTCTCTTACATGGTCCTAATGACAAGGTGCTGTGAGAGCCTGTTGCACACCTGAGAATTCTAAATAGATTCACCCAGATTCTTATACCTGCAATCTTCTTAACTATTTTGTTCGCAAAACATGTTATTATTGCCAACCAAATGGCATGATATTCTATGCATATATACTTCCACCACAAGCATCTGGAGATGATCTTGTTGTTTTAGGTCAGTAGGCAAAAAGTATGGTGGTGGGACGGGTACCAAAAGTGGTGAAATTTTCCCTTTCCTATAATAGAAAGTGATTCCTCATGCTCGATTTATCTTTCTTCATGTTGCTTAGTCAATTGATGCTTTTATTTCCTGCATATAATGCTAACTTTCATGGATTTCTTTTGGGCGTAGTTTAGGTCAGGGTCATGGTCAAGCCATCTCTGATAACAAATACCTGGGTTCATGGCAACAACAAGATATCATGTGAGTATTTTATATCCTAGGAAAACTCTTGCTTGGTCTGGATGCAATCACATGTTCACCGCGTTTTGAATCACTGGGTTTAGCTTTTGGAATTTGAATGATGTCCTATTCTGAGAATATGATGCATGTTTGTCTCTTTGATAAACTATAGCTGCTGGTGACAAAAAAGGAAACTTCTCTAGCAGAATTATAGTCCTGATTCTGTTGAATTGAGCTTGGGAGGTGGCGATAGTGAGTAGCTACGACTAACTCATAGTGGGAAGAAAGGCTATCACATGTATTCTCTTCTTATTTTAAGTAGGGGTTAGTTTCAGTCATCGAGGTATTTTTACCTTGTCTGCATTGAATGGACCTCTACACCAATCTCATATTTTATGAATTAGTTTATATACATCCTCTTACACTATAGTCTGAAGTCATTAATTACTAGGCAGGTTTAATTTATGATTTCTAAGATGGATACAACTGATGAAGCAGTGCACTTTGTGGTTCTCAAAAGCATGACTTGAGAGGGCTAAGAGAAAAATCAATTGTTATAGTGGATGCTTGGATTGTGAATCATCTTCATTTATGTGTGTTGCTTATCACTTTCTTACTTTATGTTAAGGTCAATTGTGGCTTTTGATTGTAAATAATTGGTTTTCTCTAACTTGCTTATTATGATTGTGCTTCATGGTAAAACTGGCAGCTCCTTTATGAATCAGCTCTTTATTGGGCGATGAACTTTGACTCTTCAGCTCCAATATATAGTGAAGCTGTGTGAGTTAAATTATAAGTGCGGCTTTTACGTGGGAGATGATGTCCCAGAACTTGTCATGTCAAAAGCTACAAGGATAGAACTAATTTGATTGTTGTAAACTTGGAGGAAACTAACATCACTAATCGAAGTTCTGGGGATTTTAAGGTGAGGCAGAAAAAGGAGCATGTGCTCGACTTTGAATAAGGATGCGAAGTAGTATTGTTGGAATCATTGTTTAGTTAATGTTCCTATTATGAGCCTATGTTTAGTAGTGTGTTTTTCATCACTATACTGTTTGTGACTGTTTTGATTTTTACCAAATTCATACTTTTAAATTGTACATAGTTTCAGTTGTCATTGTCCAATGAAAATGGAATTTGAAGTTGAAAACAACAAGGATTGGTCTGTATGTTATGGGAGGAGCAGTAGCGTCGGTGTGTTTATTACCACTGTAGCTTCCATTTGTTTGTGTTCTTTATGCTAGAAGCTCGCATTTGTGTCACTTTACGACACGAGCAACCTGGTTTTGTGTGTTTGCGACAGCAAGAAGTCCAAATTGATTGTGTTAATGATATAATAGCAAAACAAATTGATTGCTTTTGTGTCCTAAAGGCTTCTTCCTTCCCAGGTGTCATCAAGTAATCTGTTAATTTCCGCTTCAGGTTTCCTAAGATTGTTCTATAGTTAGTAAAACAAATCATGTTAACTTACAATTAGAATAAAAATAAAGCACAATGGGAAAACGGAAAACAATTACCATTGTCAAAGCTTTTAAATTCTAGCTGGAGAATTTTTGCCGAAAGGTGGTCAAGTTTTGGTAGTGGGTCATTAAGGGATGAAAGCCACCAACTAGACTCTCTCATTCACTACTACACGACCCTCAACCACCAAAAGTGTCATTTAATTATACATAGATCATTACATCACTATTTCACACTAGTATTAGTCGTCTCTCAACCTCAAATTCGTCAAATTAAAGATGACCAATTACAACCTCAACCTCATTATTGTCACACTACTAAATTTAGCTTGATATCTATGTCGTAAATATAGAAATATTCAACCAAATTCTCATTTTCCAACAAGTAATTGCCATACGTAGTGTGATAATAAAAAATGTTGAGAACTTATTTAATTTTATGATATTTGTAACCCGACCCATTGGTCGAAGGAGCTCAACCGAATATCCCAATAGTTCAATATTCGACTCAGCTCCTCCGCCCAACGGGCCGAGTCACAAACTAGTAGTTTTTAATATGCCTGCTTCTAGGGGTGGAAATCGGTACGGTATCGGAATCCCAATACCAAATACTGAATTATACACTAAAATCAATCTCAATCCCTAAATAATTTCGGTATCTCAATCTCAATCCCTAATATTTGGGTATCTTAATCGATACCTCGGTATCCCAATCGGGATTATCGAATACAAAATTAATTACCTTTGTAATTAATAATTAAATATATAAATTAGATTTTATTTTTTAATTTAGGGCAAAGAGACTAAACAAAGAGTCTTGAGTTGCCTAGAGCTAACATCTCAAGTTCTTGTAATTGGTCATCTTTAATTTGATGAATTGAGGTTGAGAGACGACTAAAACTAGTGTGAAATAGTGATGTAATAATCTATGTATAATTAAATGACACTTTTGGTGGTTGAGGGTCGCGTAGTAGTGAATGAAAGAGTCTAGTTGAGAGGATAAAATACACACTAGCTTCCCACGAAATAATACGTATATTTGATAATATTAAATATAAACAAATTTGATACGATACTCGGTATATTCCAAATACCAGTACCAAACTTCCAGCCTACCTGCTTCTATCAGAAATGGGAAAAGGAAGGGCTGCTTGGTTGGATTTTCCCACTTTCCCATGTTAACAGAACAGATTCTTAGCACTTGGCCATTAAATATTTCCACACAGTTTCTTGAGAAGACAAAACCAATCTCACCACCTCGTCTTCCCGTGTCGTTATCCTCCCAATTGTACCACTTCCTCCAAAATGGTAATAACATAATAATTTATATCTTTTGTTCTTTCTCAGCTCACAATGTTTACCGGTCAGTGTCGCACAGTGCATCCAGTCATTGGTTTGTTTATGGTGGAATCAATTGTTGGCATGCATCAGCTGAACCAAATTACTACTGCAAGCGAAACCACTACATCACACTACTAGCTAGGCCAATTCCATCACGTCTCTCTCAGTCTTCCGCTGATCTCCGTTCTCTCTTTCTGTTTCGGTCCCCGTAGAGATCTCCAACGTCCTCACCGTACTTTTCAGCTTTGATCAAAGGTACGCTGAAAAGCAAAAAAACCCATCCGAGGTTTCGTTATATTCATCTGATTCTGTGTCGGTTCTGCTGTGAATTTTCCGACGGCGAAAGTTGGTACCCATCTTGTTTCTTCTTTTGTGGCGTGTGCTGTAATGGGTCTCTGATTCGGATCGAGGTTCGATTGCAGGATGGAGGAGATTACTAACGTGATGGAGTATGAAGAAATCGCGAGGCAGAAATTGCCCAAGATGGTATATGACTACTACGCCTCTGGCGCTGAGGACCAGTGGACTCTCAAGGAAAACCGCAATGCCTTCTCTCGAATCCTGTAAATACCTGCTCCTTTTATTGCTGGAAGAACATTAGATTGTTGGTCATTTATTTAACTCTGATTTGACTATGTAGGTTTCGTCCTCGGATTCTTGTTGATGTGAGCAACATTGACATGACAACGACTGTACTGGGCTTCAAGATTTCGATGCCAATCATGATTGCTCCAACCGCTATGCAGAAAATGGCACACCCTGATGGTATTAATTAAGTCCCAGTTTTCCTCCATTCATTCAAATTGCTTGAGCTGCCGCTGACTCACACAAGGCTCCTTGTTTCTATTTGCTTATGGTGGACCGCAGGGGAGAATGCGACAGCAAGAGCAGCTTCTGCAGCTGATACCATTATGGTAAAAAAAAAAAAAAAATTTGAACTTGAATTGGATTTTGATTGGAAGGTATCGTCCATAGATTATCCATGAATTGATGTGATCTTTTGCAGACTTTGTCATCATGGGCTACATCCAGTGTTGAAGAGGTAGCTTCAACAGGCCCTGGCATTCGCTTCTTCCAACTCTATGTGAGTGTGTTTTTCTCTGCAAAGAAAAAAAAAACCCTTCAATCCTATTTCTCCCATTTGGTTCAGAACCTGTGCATCCATTTAGGATTACTCACGAGGCTGGCTTAATACCTCCCCAGGTGTATAAAGACAGGAATGTAGTCGCTCAGCTGGTTAGGAGAGCCGAAAGAGCCGGGTTCAAGGCAATTGCTCTTACAGTTGACACTCCAAGGCTTGGTCGGAGAGAAGCTGATATCAAGAATAGGTTCGTTCATGAGCCTCTACCCAGATGGATCCAAACACTTTTGACTACTTGTGTGTTAAGCACTGAGCTGCATTCTCCTTTATTGTAGGTTTGCTTTACCACCCAATCTGACGCTGAAGAACTTTGAAGGCTTGGACTTGGGCAAAATGACAGTAGACAAGGTCACTCCCACAAAACCCCACTCTTTCTCAACTTGTAAAATCTGCAAGCTACATTCGGTATTGTTATCACAATTATGCTTTTTTTCGCCCCCTCAGACCAGTGACTCAGGATTGGCTTCCTATGTTGCTGGCCAAGTCGACCGGACGCTTAGCTGGAAGGTACTAACTACGAGCACCAGTTTCCCTCCATCTCCATTGACCACCTGAAACAGTGACATTTTGGCTAGTACTATTGTACTTAAGTTGTTTTGTTGTGTAACCCCAGGATGTGAAGTGGCTTCAAACCATCACCTCACTACCAATTTTAGTGAAGGGGGTGCTGACAGCTGAAGACGGTAAAGCAAAAAAACCAACCCAAACTCAGTTCCTGCTTCCCACATTTCTTCTTGCCTCGGGCGGTCTTACGATTTCCAGCTGGTGTGTTGAATGACAGCGAAGCTGGCAGTACAAAATGGAGCAGCAGGGATCATTGTGTCCAATCACGGAGCCCGGCAGCTCGACTACGTTCCAGCCACCATCACTGCTCTGGAGGAGGTTGTGAAAGCTGCACAGGGCAGAGTGCCTGTGTTCCTAGACGGTGGAGTTCGCCGCGGGACAGATGTGTTCAAGGCACTTGCGCTGGGAGCTTCTGGTGTATTTGTAAGCCAATCTCTAAAAACGTCCAAAACTTTTTTGGGCGTTGCAACCCTTTGCAGCTAGTTTGATGTCTTTCTATGTGTTCTGTTGGGTTTGGCAGATTGGGAGGCCTGTGCTGTTCTCATTGGCGGCAGATGGAGAAGCTGGTGTGAGGAAAGTACTGCAGATGCTGAGGGATGAGCTTGAACTGACAATGGCGCTAAGCGGCTGCACATCGCTCAAGGAGATTACCCGCAGTCACATCGCTACTGACTGGGACCCTCCTCGCTCGCTCCCTAGCAGCAAGTTATGAATTGAATTGGAACCCCGTAGTAATGTTGTGAATAAGAACCTCCCCCATTGTTGGAAAAAGCTTGGATCCATCCATCGTTGTGTAAACTTGAAGATCGTTGAAAATTGATGATGCACGCACTTAGTAAGAAGAGGATTAAGTAGCCATGAGAACAGCTGTTGATTTGTGTCACCTAGCTACTTAGAGACAACAACTGTTGATTTGTGTGGGTGATATTTGTTTTAGGGAGATTTGAATTTAATAAATGTATTTGTGTGGGTAGTTTGGATTGAGTATTTGGCAAACTTGTTATTTGGGCCAATTATCACACAATTCTCCATTTCAAATTTTGAGCAACTAGAGTGAAAGTAGGAAGGGTATTTTTGTGTTCACAATTAGTTATTTATTTTGTATAAAAATATATCAGCACCAAGATTTGAATCATATTATCTTTAAACAAATACAAGAAACATAACCAATTACACTAAACAAATACGTTGTATATTTTTTTAGAGCAATGTCTATTTTTTACCCAAACCTTTTTCAGATTCTTTTATTTTAACCAAACCTATAGAAATTCTATTTATTATCCAAACGTATTATAATTTAGGGCTAATACCACTACAACACCCGAACTATCGCGAAAATGTCACTTATGTCCTATTGTTTCCAATATTCCATCTGTGTCCTGAACTATGATTCCGTTAGTGTTGACTTTTGTTGACCGTTAGTTCTTAACAGAATATCTAGTCAGCACTGATGTGGCATCTGACGTGGAATTTTTAATATTAATTTTTTCCATCTAATATTAATAAAATAAGAAAAAAGAAATAATTAAAATATAAAATAAAATAAAAACCTAACCCACTAATCCCTTCATCCCACCCACACAAATCTCTACATTTTAACAGAAACGTAACCCACCAAACCCCCAATCCTCTTAAACAACCCCAATACCCTGTCGATCTACTCCCTCCTCCACCCTATCTCCCTCACCGTCGATCTACTCCCCTCCTTCTTCCCCAATTATATGGCCTCCCAGATCCCTAATCCATGATTGAACAGAGAATCACCAGTCCCTCCATTTAAATCCCAGTTGCAAAGATTCAAATCCTCTTTTCTAGTTAGGAGAGAACGAATGCCCCCTCAAGATGGAAATTGGGGGTTTCTTTTTGTAAAAGAAGTCGAATCCGCAAAATGAGAACAGGGGATTCGTGAGGTAATTGGTGATCATCGTGCCCCTGATCTCCGCCAACATCTTCGGCGGCACCCTCTTTCTTCCGCCGTCGAGATTCCCGAGACCCGCTGGTTGTGGCGCCGCCGTACGAAGAACTACAACGCCATCCAATGGTTCTTATGCTTCCCCATCGGCACGCGTCTTCTTCTGGGCCTACGCCTACTACCTCTCCCGGTTCCTCCACCTCTGGTGTATCTTCCTCAAGGTTCTCCGTCGCCGTAAAAACACTAGGCCTGGGGATTCGATCTGGTGCCTAGGTTATTTTTTCATCTTTGAAATTTGATCTGTTTTGCTACCAGATCCATCCTCCCCTATGTGAACGACAACAAGCTTCAGTTGCAATCATCTGTCGGATTCACGGGAGCGGGTCTCAACTGGTGGGCAGATTTTCTGGCTTGGGAGATTTATTAGAGAGGGTGAATTGGTAGAGAAGAAGAATACCAAGAGTTTTTTTTTAATTTTTGGCTTAATAATAAAGTTAAATTTACAAAAAAAAATATTTTTTATTTAATTTAAATTAAAAATATGAGGTGTCAATGATGTGGCATCTATGTGGCAACCACAATTTTGCCACATCAACAATAGTCAACTTTGCTTTGACCACCGTTTGGTCAACCGTTATCTTTAACGGTCAACGAAACAGTCAGGATACAAATGACACAAAGTATCATAGTTCAGGACATGAATGGAATATTTAAAACAATAGGACATAAATGGCATTTTCGCGATAGTTCGGGTGTTGTAGTGGTATTAGCCCTATAATTTATCAAAGTTTGGGCATTCATTCTGTTACCGTTACTTATTTCGTCCACGTGAGGGGTGGGATTTTGTTTTGTTTTTTGATAATCTTTTTATTAAAAATAGTAAATGATGGTATTCTGACCGCCATGTAAGAAGTCAACTCATTATGGTCATACTTAGTCAGTATTACTAACAGAAAAGTAGACGGAGAGTTAACGTTTGGATAATTTTTAGGAATTCTATAGATTTGGTTAAAATAAAAGAATCTGAAAAAGATTTGGGTAAAAAATAGACATTGCCCATTTTTTTATACAAAACACGAAGTTAAAAATTGAAAAAATGATAACTTGTGCATAATAATAAGATAGTTCACTAAGTCTTTTATAAGTATCATTACTGTGTTTGCCCTCCCAACACACTTGCCCATGTCCTAGTACATTAAAAGGAAATTGGAACCATGATTTGACTTTAAGAAGTTTTTGCCAGACCCATGAACCAGCAGTGGTCACATTAATCTCCCAGAGACTTCTTCCTTTCAATCAATAACTCAGACAAAGGGTTGTTGCATACATGGAAAGATACAACGAATGGAAGCAAATCTTACGAGGAAAGCCCTTTAAGTACATAGAAACTTTCTAGATAACACCACTCCCCTACTACTAATTTAATACTCATAACCTCTACCTTACAATCATTTACTCAAATTTAAGAAAATCAATATATCTCCCCATCCACCAAAATCACTAGTGTAGGACAAGTCTTGCATCATGTAATTTTGACAAAACTTCAGTAAAAATTGGCTATTCACCGTGAAGTCTTCTGCGACGTTCTCTCCACAGGAAAGTCACACATATACACCAAAAAAATGGCTACAACGTGATTCTTCTTATAGTTTAACAACTTGCTTTTATCGACTCAGACATCAAACACAATCCAAGGATTTCCTAAAAATGAACACTAAAAGTAAAGATGTTCTCTGGATTTTGTAGCGGAGTCACACAACAAACATTGCCCCACCACAGTTTCCCGCATCTCATTAGCTTGTTCCTAGTAACGATTCTATCTAACATAACCATCCAAGCTATGAAACTAAATCGAGGGATATGCCTTTTACTCCACACCATTACAATTTACAACCCACTCAACCTCAGGCCACTTAAGTTTCAACGATTCAAAAACCACAACAACCTTAAACTTTTTCATAGACTTACTATCCCATCACAATAAAGCCCCCTTTTGACCGAAAAACACTTGAAGAGGAGCTCTCATTTTAAGTACCCGCCTCCAAGTCCAAGAGCTACTCTGACTCATCTTACTACTATCCAGACAATGCAGTTAAAAGCGCAATTCTACCTAGAAGCGGTTGGGTGACCTAAAAGCGTAAAACCGTAAGTTTTTGAGTTTTAAAGCGTAGATTTTGACTACATTTGTAAGGGAAACCCACGATTCTACATAAAAGCGTTTTGGTGACCTAAACAGGTAAAAGCGTAATCTTTTAAGTTTTAATGCACGATTTTGACAGCATTGTATCCAGATGCTACCATATTTCACCTTGTATTTTAGAATCCAAGCGACCCAGATCATACAGCTTTTCGTTAAAATAAGTCATATAATTCTTGTAGTGCGGGCTCGGTTCCAAGAGAATAGATCTCTAAGCTCCAAATTCCATTAACCCCATTCCTTATGACTTTTGACTACTCGTTCTCATCCAATTTTTGTCACGCCCCCCATCACCACTATGCCAAAGGAACGTGGAACAAATGTTATGCATGTAGTTCATAACTTTCTTGGGTAAGAGAAACACTTGCATCCATAATTGAATCACACCCATAAGAACCGATGTGAACCGTTGGAGTTGACATATATCTTTAATTTTTAGCTGTCAATAGTTTGTTCTCTTTTATAATTTTTCTTATAAAATATTAATTCTAAGAATTCGAAAGATCACTGCTCTATTGTGTTTTTTTTTTTTTGACAAAGGGATCACTTACAATCTTACATTGCTCATCAAATGGATTCGGTTACATTGAGTGGATAACATCATGAGAAGTGGAAACAAGAAAGAAAAACAACAATCATCCAGCGGAACACACCAAGACAACGAGGAAAAGATCAAGACAATCAAAAGCAAAGCATGATCCAACCAGACAAAGGCTTTCCTTTCAAGAGCCATAAAACAGAGCATCTTAACCACTCTTTGCTCCCTCATTCATCAGAAATGCTCAAAGAAAAGCTTCTGCTCATCCAATACAGGCTTGACCATGGCAATTGAACATTGCCACACCATATGTCACCTCCTGGGAGTTGTTCGAAGATGAACCATCACAGTGAACCACCGAAGAGATTACATGGCGGTGGACATGACTGTACCAGATTGCTCAGAGCTGAAACAAGGCTAGGGAGCCGGCAACAGAGGTAACCATGACAAAACATAGTAAGCTAACACCAAGGGTTGAGAAGAGCCGTCAAAACCCACAAGAAAAGAAGATCACCAGCAAGAACCACAACCTGCAGAAACACAACACCATAAAGACCACCCCAAAACCCAGAAAACAACAAAAGAAGCAACACCCACACCATCACCAACCACCCACAGACACAAAAACAAATCAACCCAAGGTAGAACCCTAAACTCAGAGAGTCATGAACCCGCCGGTCGCCGCCTAGACATTCGGAAGAGACAAAGTTGCCCACAACAGATGATCGGCAAGGATGTAGAAAGCATGAAACAAAGACGACGTCTGAGAGGAAACGATGAACGCGATCACCACTGGGATGTTCACACCAAGAATGGATGAGTCTTCACTTCAGATCCAGCTGAAACTCCCTAGAATGCATCTTTCGTACCCAGAACAGAGCGACCATATCTGGTGAAACCAGATCAGAACAAGACAGGACAACTCCACCATGGAGGAATGTGGAAGGAAACCACTTAGGAATCCTAGAGAAAGTCACCAAGGGCAAGAAAAGCCATCACGGTAGGAAAATCAGATCAGATCTGCAGAAAGCCACCAAGCGTTTGAAGATCAGAAAAGGAACTGGAGGAGCCAGTGATGGACGGAGAACAAAGAAAGCACAAAGGAATGTCGAAGGGAAAGAGATACGACGATTGCAAGAGGGAAATAGGGCCACCGCCAGTCACCAAAGTGGTGCCGACGGCAGCCCTGTGGAAGAAGGCCGGAGAGAAGCGAGAGGCTTTGAAATAGGCCGACCACTTCCACTTCTGCAAGTCTCCTTCATTACTGCTCTATTGGTTGGTGAGGACCAAACCGCACCATTCTATCTTTAAATTTTGTCTACTTTTTATCCGGTGCTAGAACGATTTGGTCGATTTCTGGACCGCATCAACCCGCCCCGCCCTTAGTTCAACATACTTACATAAAATCATCCACAAACTTTAATGGTTAAGACATGAAATACTAATTACAACAATGCTCCTCTACCAAACCGCTTCATATTAGGAGGCTAACTTTACATTTGAATTCGGTTTCCTACTCGTAATGAATTGAACATATGTCACTTAAATCCTTACAACAAGAGGAATACAGGTTCCTTAAGAGTGTAGGCCCATCCTACTTGCCACCTCCTTCCCTTCCTGGCTTCCTCTCCACTTTCTTTCTTCCTCGTTGTAATTCATTAAATGGGCCGACTTCAGAGGATCGGGCCCTCGCTGGCCTTCCCGAGCTTCCTTCTTCCCACCTTCCGTTTCTTTCCTTCTCCTACCGGTTTTCTTTCTTCCGACTTGCTTTTGATTCTTTGATCATCTCATCTGCCGCCATTTCCTAGGCTCTGCACCCTGCTTTGAGATCAAAAGCACAGAAAAAGTCAGAGCAATGGCCATAATAAACTTTCTGCCCATTTCCCCCGGAACCACTTTCGGGGGTTTTAGTTGAGATATAACAACCAATACTGAATCTGTTCTCCCCCTTCTCCAATTTACATCATCGCTCGCTGCGTGAATTGGTTTCTGTTTCCCTAGGGGTTTCTGTTGATCTTCACTTCGTTTGCACAATTTGTTGGCTCATTGATGGCGGAGTCAGTGATGGATAATAAAAAGAGTGTGAGCGAGGGTGGCAACCGGCGCCGGTGGGCGGTTTTCTTCGCTATGACTGTTCTGATCATTGCTCTGTCTGCTGCTTCCACCGCCGCCCCAAAGATCTCTCTCTTCGGTAAATTCAATACGCTATGCAGCTGCTCCCAGCAGCAGGTACATTTTTTATTTGTTCAATTCTGTGGTGTTTGACTTGGTTTGCGGCTCGTGGATTAACATAACATGCATTTGTAGTAAGTTCAAAGCTTTGTGAATCGTATTAGACCTGGTATACTGTTACGAATGCTGTGTGATTGAGGGGTCTAGAGACGAATTGAAATTCTGTCCCCGTCCGAGTGTTAGTCTTAACTTGCATTTCTTTCTTCTTGCCTGTGGCGTGCACAGAAATATACTGGGATTGTGGAAGACTGCTGCTGCAACTATGAGACAGCTAACCTTTTGAACGAGGAAGTATTGTATCCGTCTCTCCAGGAGCTTGTCAAAACCCCATTCTTCCGTTATTTCAAGGTCCTTCCCCCCAAACTCCATTGGGTTCTCATTAGAATTACGAAACTTTTCATTTTTCAAAGCATCTCCAGGGGAGACTTTGCCAGGAAATTCTTGTATTGTGATCAATGTTATTGCTTTCTTTGTTGCTACTTATCCCTGATTATTATCTACATTAATGTTGTTTGCTTGTCTCTGATGCTTTCTTTCTCAATATCTGTTCTGTAATAGGTGAAATTATGGTGTGACTGCCCTTTCTGGCCCGATGATGGCATGTGCAAGTTGAGGGATTGCAGTGTCTGTGAATGTCCAGACAATGAGTTTCCTGAACTGTTTAAGAGGCCTTTCCGCCGTGGTCTGCCCTCAGATGCTCCTAAATGTCAAGAAGGCAAGCCCGAGGCTACCGTTGATCGCACCCTTGATCATAGAGCTTTTAGGGGTTGGAAAGTGACTGATAACCCATGGACAAATGATGACGAGACTGACAATGGTTAGTCCCCTTTCTGGCCCCTAAAGCGTCAAAATATGAATTTGGCGTTGGTTTCATTTATGTTTGTTTTGATGTTTCATCCTAGAAGTCCTTTTATCTTTTATGGTTTGCATTGGGATTGGTATTCTGCGACCCCTGATGTAAATATACTAATGATCAGATCACAATAGTCATTGCTACTATTTGTGTTGGTAGAGATCATTTTAGCTTATTGTGCTATCAAATATTGCTGCTAATACAACTTTTCATTTTCCAGCTGAGATGACATATGTGAATTTGCAACTGAACCCTGAACGATATACTGGATACACTGGTCCATCAGCTAGAAGGATATGGGATGCTGTTTACTCTGAGTGTAAGTGAGACTCTTACTTGATTGTCGAATTGGCCCTTCCATTTTGAACGAGTGTGCTTGTCTTATTCTGTTCACATAAGAATTAGAATGACATGCATCTACATTGTGACTTATGAGGAATCTTACTTCTTAAATTTTGTCACCATAACGCGTTTGTCCTGCTGTACCTGATGTTCCATGTTTCCAGTAATGTTGTAAGCGGCTGTGTTGCCACCTAGTGCAAAACTAATCTTTTGAAGTTTCAACATTATCAACAGATCCATCTGAAGAGCTGTGCCAGGAAGAGAGATTGTTATATAAATTGATTTCAGGTCTGCACTCATCCATTTCCATCCATATTGCTGCTGACTACCTGCTTAATGAAGACACAAACTCGGTATGAACTATACAGAACATGTTGGTTGGTTACTTTATCTTTAACCATGGCAAGTTAAGTATAGCGAGTGTCCTCATATTTGTCTTGGGTCCCAGAGAATAACGTTAAACTTCCCTGAATAAGCATCATTGAATAGATCTATTGTCTAATTTCAATTTCACGAGTAGTTCTAATATGAATCTCAAGTCTTGCTGGTTATCGAATTTTGCGGCCTTGTAGTATTTTCAAGAGTTTTCTACTAGTGATTCGGTCATCTAATTCCACAATATATCTACTAGTGGAAAGTAGTTTCACTAATTCGTATATCAGAGCAGTGTCTTGGCTGTTGATTCGGTCATCTAATTTCCACTTCTATCTGACCTCGTTTTCTTGTCTCCTTGCAGTGGGGTGAAAATCTGACTTTGATGTATGATAGAGTTTTGAGATACCCTGAACGTGTTGGGAACTTGTACTTTACGTACCTCTTTGTTCTGCGAGCTGTCACAAAGGTGAGTATCAACGTAACAAGGAATAAGAAAGTTCTGCTGCGTTATCTATATTTTGGAATAAAATGATTTTCTTAGTTAGCATGAGCCATGCAAATATTTAGAATTCTCTATTGGACGTTATCATAATGATTAACCCTCTCTGAATTTCTAGACAGCGAGGTACTTGGAGCAAGCTGAGTATGACATTGGTAATCCTACCGAGGATCTGAAGGCTCATTCCTTGATCAAGCAGCTACTCTATAATCCAAAACTTCAAGCCGCTTGCCCACTTCCATTTGATGAAGCTAAACTTTGGAAAGGTCAACGAGGACCTGAACTGAAACAGAAAACACAAGAACAGTTCAGAAACATAAGGTTGGTATTAATCCTTTTGATACCTTAACATTTTACTTTAATCTGCTAACGTGATTTACAGTATTAACTCTATTTTCATTTCCTTTTGTTTATTGCACTTCTCTGTTGAATTACCTGTATATGATATAATATGAGAATCATTCCATTGTACTTGCAGTGCATTAATGGATTGTGTAGGCTGTGAGAAATGCAGACTTTGGGGAAAGCTCCAGGTTCTTGGCCTAGGTACGGCATTGAAGATACTGTTCTCTGATAACGGGGAAGACAAAATATTCCGAACAGTAAGTACTGATTTCGGAAATTAGAGATTTATTATGGCACCAATTATTCATGTCAACTGTTGTATTGATAGTAGATGTTGACTTCTTGTCGTTGCTTGAATTCAGTTGCAGTTACAGAGGAATGAAGCAATTGCATTGATTAATCTTCTGAATCGGCTGTCCGAATCTGTTAAATTCGTCCACGAAAAGGGTGCTGCGCTTGAAAGGACCATGGAACAACAGAGTGGCTTCTTCCCCATCGCAAATGTCCTCTTGGCAAAAGTTTGGCCTTTTAGTTCAAGCCTGCTAAGGTAATAGTAGAAGAGGAGTGCTTCTTTCATGCCATTGGTGACAACGTCTAGTTGGCTGAGGGCTTAGATCCAGTATAACACTTATGACTTAACCGTTGGCAGATTACAGACTGAAATTTGAACATCGACACAAACTTCACATAGGGAAAACAAGGAAAATTGTAGAGCTGAGTCATGTATGTGTTATATGTACCTTGACAATAGATAAGATGTAACAACAGCAGACAATTTTCTCTGGAAATTAAAAAGTGCTGCACAAAGCCAGAAGTTCATTGCTTACAATATATACTCTTTCTTTTCAATATGAATTACATTACGGACCAAAGGATAGAACATAGTAGCAGCTTCCAGCAGCGACCTGTGTTGAGTCGACCTCACAGCCAAAAAGTTCTCGACGGTTCGTTCTATATTAGCTTTACTATCTCTCGACTCCAAAACGAGGACCATCTCGTCATATATGCGAATACCAATCTGGCAAGAAACAACAATATAACAGTAATCTTTAGTTAGCAAGGCCTCCCATTAGTTGCAGCACGGCTGGAAGTTCAGTGGTCAGTTCCCAGTTAATCCAGTATTGATGTACCAAAGGTTGAAGTTGTCCCTTCTCTGCAACTCTACCAACTCGCAAAACACAGTTGCAATTTAACCACATTCACCGCCACTAGATCACGTCTTACTGTAATGAGAAGTTACACAGAGAGATGTATGCAGATGCACACATCCATCCAATTTGACAGCAGCACTAGGTTTAAAAGGGCTTCCATAAAACAATTCGCAAAAGATGGCAGGCTGATTCCAGGGTTACACACTTGTGGCCGAGCAGCTATAACACAAATACTACCGACCCTTCTTGGAGCATTTGGTGGGTCTTGTTTTCTCCTTCCTAGAATCTTCAGGAGGCTTTGAATCCAGAAATGGCTGCAAAGTCAAGCAATTTAAGGCCTTATTGGCATTAGGAAGCTGAACAATCATCATTATAAGCCCACAGATTTAAACCAACAAGAAACTTGGATCACCATAGATCAAAAGCATCAACAAACAAAGAAGGGCAGGTACTTGAGAGAAGTGGGGCGAATTCACTGAATTCACTAGTACTAGGCATTAGTTTCTACATAGCAGTTCTTCTTCCTCATTTATACATATTCATATAGCAGCGAAAGGGCTGTATGTGTAAAGGTGGATACTTTTGACTGGAAGAAGGGATGTAGCTGACCTCTTCCGACTTCTTCTGTAGTTCTAGTAGCTCCTGGCAATAAGCGAGGCACTCAGCGTGGTAGACAGCCGCCAGCTCTTTTATCAAAGCCTTCCTCTTGATTATACCGATCACTGCCGGACGGGAAAAGCGAAGAAAGGAAATTTATGTGAAGGTTCTGTAGCTAAATTCACTACAGTCGCTGTGCTGCCAGAAGCGAAACGGGGAAGGAAACCCTAGCTGGCAAAATTGGGGAAAAATGGAACTCAATTACGGGAAGGGGGAGGGAGTTTACTTCGACTCGGATCGAATGAAGGAGGAGGCGGGTGTGGCGGCGGCGGCGAGGACAGACTGGATCCGGTTTCCGGAGGAGCGGAGACGGTATCGCCGGGAGGGGACGTTTGATCTCCGAGCATTATTTGGGGAGAGGGTCTACGAGATGAGGCTAAGAGCGGAGAGTTATTATTGGGCGGCGCCAGGTTCACTGAATTTTCCCTCGTCATCGCCAGCTACGGTAGTAGCTGCAATATTTTCCTCTCACGCACCCTCTCAGCTTCCTCTCACGGTTTACACGATCTTCACCGGGCACTTCACTCGGCTGCAAAATGTCATGATCGGATTCATACGTGGAGATTATTGCAAGTAGACAGTAGGTGTCAACCAAGTTTAACCTAAAATGATGTTGTCGTAGTAAAGTGAAAATTAAGATCGTAATCACTCGGATCCTAGTTCTATAGCCTACTTCTCATATTGTTGTTATCTAGCCGATCGATTTGAGTGTTTTGTGTGGAGGATATGAGCAAACTAATTAGTCTAAAGATCAAATAAAGATAAAAGCAGATACTTCGGGAAACTATCTCTCACCCTAGTCTATGATTACTATGCAATGTCAAGATACCAAGAGTTTATCGAATGTGGTGAGTGAGCTCTTTTCCATAGGCTTTCGTGGTTATTTACACGCCTCCGAGTACGCCTCCCCTAAACCCATGTAAAGTCACATCGATCTAGGCTATCGTATCTTGGGCATTAAGGTCATAGCTCTTTTTAATGGGTACTACCCACCGTCCACACCGAGGTTTCATCCCGGGTTTTATCTAGGAAGGCATACCTATGGCAGGGGTTCGGTCGCCTCGACCACCATAGGATCCTATTCATACATCTAACCTCAATTTTCTTGATAGCCTAAAACTCCATACCCAGCGTAGAAGCTCAAGTAGGCTAGTAGACAAGATTAGGGCGACTTACCCAAACACAAATCAAAGATAGAATATCATGCAAATCAACCAGATAAACACATTCATTCATTAAAATCCTAAAATATCCATACATACATAGTAAACCTAAAACTAGGTTTGGGGTTTAGAAGCCCTAATACCTTAGAGGACTACTCCATCAAGGGGGGGAGAAGATACATAGAATGGGAGAATGGGATCTTCTATATATAGGCATCAGAGGACGGAGAAGTCCACGGGTAGGAAGGACAGATATCGCGGGTGCGATCTTCTTCATGGAGGCCGCGATCTTGCGACGTTGTCATTTAGGCCTTTGGGGACGAGGAGTTCGCGGAATGACTTTGCGGTCGCGATCCACGAGTCGCGGCCGTGAACTTCCTCGCGGTCAGTTTGCACTTCGGCCGTGTTTTGCCAGAGGAAACTCTCTGTTTCTCCTCGGGTGCTTCTTCAAGAAGTTCCCGCATTGAGCGCTCCAATTCGCGGCCACGATCTTCACCTTGACATCGCAGGCAGGGTTCTCGACCGTGATCTCTATCTCCAAGCCACGATCTTGGGTCTTCTACCCCATTTGTGACACTTGTGACCTTATTTTGTACCTAGTTCGCATGTATTGTCTAAAGCACTCTAAAATCACATTGAAATCAAATAGGAACAAAATAGGGATGCAATTGAATCTGTTCAAACAATTATGAACATGAATTTGCACAAAACAAACCTTAATATGAAGGGTAAATAGCACCAATTTAGGTGTTATCAAACTCCCCCACACTTAGGGTTTGTTTACCCCAAGCAAACTTACTCAAACCAATGCAACATGATAGACAAATTAATGGGGAATGCACTCTAGTTCTTCATTGCATAAGGAAGAGTAGACGGAGACGAATGAACATTACTATCATCTTACTATGCAAGCAAAACTCTCGGATGAGTTACTACCTTAGGCCGAGCATTCAAGGTGTGCACCGGGGGAATTCTTAAACAACAAAAAATAAGCACAAGAACTCTCGATGGCGCTCTTTATTCTCTCTTTTGATTCAGGACTTGTCGTTTATTGGTCTGCTTTTTCAACGTTGACGCGCATTGCACCAAGCTTTTGCAACTCTTTTGCAAACAAGCATCTCTCGCTCATGACCAAGAGCGGATGAATCGTAGTCTTCCCTTTCAAATTCACATGCGGGGAAGTTGATGGGTGGATTCGTCTTAGCCCGAGCACCACTTCCCAGCCTGCAATCCTCATTGGGTTGTCACACATGTTAGGTACAAACGAGAGCTGTGAGTTCTCATGAATCGCTAAAAGGTACTTTAGACCTTGGCGTACGATTCCGTGAGGAGGAAAGATGCCTGGGGGATGAAAAGTAGTAAAAGATGGTCGGGACGTGGTAAAGTTATTCGATCCTCAAAGGGCACTCCGAATCCGTGAGGATTGGTTGCCTCTCACGTGAGAACCTCATTTTCTTAAGATTTTTCTCTCTTTTCTTTCTTTTCTAATACGCACAAACTAGTAAAAGCTTCGAGTTCAACAAAATAAAAATAAAAAAGAGAATTACGCACACATTTTCTTCCTAAAATAGCAAACATTATCAACTCACAAAAGAGGAAGAAGATAGCAAAATTCCTCATACACCGGTACTCTATTCATGCAACTATCACCTAGCGAGCACAAAACATCGAGTAGGGAGTTGTAAGGAACAAGGTAATTTGGAACATTCAAATTTGAATTTTTTGGGTGAAGTATTTCAGGTTCCAAAGCACCATCATTTGACCATTAATCACCACAACACAAACACAATCGCTAGCATGCACTCCCATAGGCATTCATCAACATCTTACATTCATAAAAAGGAAGGATATATCTAGCAATTCATGGTTCAACCAATCATTATAATCATTCAAGCATTCACACACATCCACCACATTGAGCAACAAATTGTCCTCAATGTGGGAGTTTCATAAGATAAGATCATGAAGGTTACCATAGGTTGAGTTGTGGATTGGTGAAGGTACACAAGTATAGTTCTTTGTCTTCCTGGTGGTTTTCACAATGATATACCGCATAAGAAAGATAGAAGGACGATTAAGAGTTATAGGTACGATAGATATATAATATAAGTACTAATACTACTAAAGCTTGAATATTTAAAGTACGAAAATAAAGCGTTAATTAAAAATTATTTTAATTAAAATAAAAGAAAAGCAAAGAAAAGAAAAGGAAGAGGGGAGAAATTAAGTCCGGCCGGCTGCAATGATTTCAGTGATTTGTGCGATTTCAGTCACCATCCCCACATAGCTGAATGCAGCAACGGCAGGAGCAGAGACAAGGAGATATTGATGGCGGCGGCCGGCTGCGGGGGGGGGGGGCCTCATAAATCGATAATTCGATGTCGCCAGGGGATGGGGTTCATGGACAGGGGAATTGAACCGAGCAGATTGAATCTCCTTCCCTCGATCTAGGGATGAGATAGCATGCCTACCCATAAAAGGGTTGGAAAAATGACACCCCCTATTAATTATAGGTTTTTAAGGTAATTAATTTGTGTTGCATTTAATAATCTGTATGAATTAAAAACACATATTAATTACTTTCCGTTTTTCAGTGCACTGGTAGTTGTGTACAGGTGCAATGGTAGATGTATCACTGCAATGGTAGTTCCAAAAAAGGAACGTAATTAATATGAGTTCAGTATACAGGTGCAATGGTAATTGAATCAGTACAATGGTAGTTAAAAAAATTAATGTAATTAAGATGAGTTTTTAATTACCAAAGATTAATAAATGCAACATGAATTTAATACAAAAAATAACTATAATTAATAGGGGTGTCATTTTTCCAACCCCTTACAAGGGTTAGCATGCTAAGGGGTCGGATAATATGCTAACCCCTAAAGGGGTAGTGATTTTCGACACCCCCCATTTGATTGGTCAGTTTTATACTTAATTATTAGGCAAGTATTAATGGCTGTCCCAAATAAATATGGATGGAGAAAAGATTAACTGTCATATTAATTATGCACGGGAAGTGGGGCAATTTAGCTGGATCCATGGATGGAAATTGTGGCGTTCTTTCCCTTTGTTTCTATTTCCCCTTCCCTCCTCTGCTATTTCCCTTCGTTTCTACTCCCTTTCCCTTTGTTTATTTCCATTGCCGTGGAGAACCATAGCTCTGGTTCATCACTACACGGCTGGCGGGATCCATTAGTTTCAAAAATGGATGATCACATCGTCCAGTTGGATGGCGGAGGTCCCTGTGTACACAAGTCTGCCGGCAAACGTCCCCTCGGATTTGACCTCAACATAGAGTATACCACCAACGACGACGATCTCTTAAAACTTGGGCAGTCCAGCAACGACTCTTACCAACATCCTGAAGATCTGGACGATCCGGCCTCCGTGGAGCATGCGTCTGATATCGTCGTTGCGAATGTCGAGCCCGTTGGAGTCGTGGAGGAACAACAGAATTGTCTTAGTAAGTACCACTGTAGTGGTATTTTTCATCATTGAAGTGATAGTGCAATAAGTACCACTGTAGTGGTATTTTTCATCATTGGTATTCATTTACAATTTATTGCACAATTCCAAAAAGCCTTCTGATACAATTTTGTTATAAACTCAGGTGTGGTTGGCACCGTGGTCCCAGAAGACGAGTCGACATGGAAGCATTTCCGTTTTGCAGACGATGATGAATTTATTAGGTTCTACAAGAATTATGCTCATGGAAGAGGCTTCTCAGTTAGAAAGACTGGTGCAATTTACAAGAGAAGATCATACTTTCCACATCCATTTATATTTTACTTTGGAGGGAGGTGCAGCAAAGGGGGCTACAAAGAAGGCAGCATACTGGATTCTAAAAATAAAGAAGATGTCGTGGATTATGACCGTGATAATGAAAGGGATAGGGGTGAGACTCGTTTTGGTTGCAAAGTAGTTGCAAGGTGCAGGTATGAGCACAGCACCAGAAATTACAGAATTTATAAATGGACGGACGTCCACGACCATGAGTTACATGATGAGGCCTCACGACGATTCTTGCGCTCGAATCGGGAAGTAACTGCTGAATATGCTTTTTTTGCAAAAATAAATGATGCTGCTGGGATCCCGGTTTCGAATAGTTTTGATTCATTTGCTGCTGCGGCAGGAGGTAAGGAAAATCTGTCTTTTATTCAAACGGACTTGAAGAACTATATCCAAAAAACAAGGAAAAAGCCTTTCACCCGGGGCGAGGCTAACATGTTTCATCAGTATTTCAAGAGCAAGGCTAAATGTGACCCCTCCTATTTCAGCGAGATGCAAATTGATGAGAAAGATGAGATTTCAACCATTTTTTTCGCTGACGGTGAAATAAGGTATGATTACGAGTGTTTTGGTGATGCAATCAGTTTTGACACTACGTATCGTACAAACAATGGATGCAGACCATTAGGTACGTTAATCAGTGTTACCAACTATCAAAGTACTGATACATTTCATTGTTTTGGTAGTTGTCGTCTGACATTTGTGATACATGTCCATTGTTACAGCTTTATTTGTCGGCTTTAATAATCA